AACTTAGGGACACATTTTTATGAACATTGAAAATTTCTTGGCCAAGTTTTTGCCTTACTCCTATTCCCAATCCTTTCCCTAAACAAAGTTCTGAGCTTTTTTGATCAGAAGCAGAGTCCACCATTTGTGACAGACTGCTTCCATGAACTACACAGTAAGTCTTCAAGCAAAAAAAATTAGTCTCTCAGTCCACTGTAGTGTGGAAGTGTGAAAATCCCACTTTTCTGTTTTAAGATGCAGCGTAAGAATTTATTAGGCAGTGCTTTCATGACTTCTCAGATCTCAATGGTAAGCTCAAGGTGGGAACATCAACTCTGTCACGGTGGAGGTGGCATGGTACACTAAGGGAACACTGTCACAGAGTTTTCCCAGTCTCCTCAAGTGACTCACAGCTCGTTTATATGCTCCCTCCATATCTTCAAATTGTGTCCTGGTATTGAGTGAGGAATAGCAAGTTCCATATATGACTGCAGAGCCTACTTCCTGGTTTCATATTTGATGAGTAACATTTGCTCCTGATACAGATAGTCTTCTTCCAGACAAATGCCAGATGACTATAAGGTCAACAGCATTATGTCATATTCTACTGAGTCAGAACCAGAAGCTGACACTTTCCAAAGATGATCTCTTAAAACATCATCACCCTCTCAGTATGAACAGCTGGAGAAGTTTTTAATGAACTTTTTATTTTTAAGGGATCCTGGAATCAAGAGGAGAGTGACTACTGTGACTCTGAACTTAGTACCTTTTACTCTCTATCAAGTTCGAAACCTATTGCTAATTTCTACAGATGATCGCTGCAGGGTGATTTTAAGTGGGGGTGGGGGATAGGGGAGAGATGAATTGCAACAAGATTATCTCAGTGCCTGGTACTATTAGAAGTTCCCAGTTCTTTGTTTCCCCTGTCCCAAATACACAGAGAATAGCCTTATTTGTAGGTCTTTTTTTCGAATTGTGGCTTTTGCTGCTCTGTGTCTTCCCTCTTTTAAAACCTAGCTCCAGGTACTTTATCCTTACGCTACCAAACCATGAGATAGTTTTTGTTTTCATTGTCTGGGACTCTATGAAGCACACTGCTTGTTGATAATTCCTAAAGGCTTCATGTAGAGAGACCAATTTTATGAATGGAACACAAGTTTGCCAAAACCAAGGAGTGTATACGTCCTAACTTTGTGTTCACTTTGTGAGTTGAGTATAATGGCTGTCTCATAGAGATGTTCATTTTTACTTTTAAAGTACTTTTATTCTTTTTATCAGTTTGTTTTAGTTAACACACAAGTAAAGACTATCACTGCAGCATTTAAAATTTTATTATTTATTTATTAATTTTCCTTATTCACTTTACATCCCACTCACTGCCTCCTCCAGGTTGCCCCTCCCACAGCCGTTTTCTCATCTTTCCTCCCCTTCTTCTCTGAGCCAGTGGGGACCTCCGCTCCATCTCCCCCAACCCTGGCACCTCAAGTCTCTGTGAGGCTAGGTGCTTCCTCTCCCACTGAGGCCAGACAAGGCAGCCCAGTCAGAAGAACATATCCCATAGGCAAGCAACAGATTTTGGGATAGCCCCCACTTCAGATGTTCAGGACTTACATGAAGACCAAGCTGCACATCTCAGGGAGGCCTAAGTCCAGCCCGTGTATATTCTTTGGTTGGTGGTTCAGTCTCTGAGAGCCATAAGGGTCCAGGTTAGATGATTGTGTTGGATTTATTTATTTATTTATTTATTTATTTATTTATTTATTTTTATGTTCATTGGTGTTTTGCTTGCATGTACATTTGTCTGTATGAGGCTGTTGGATCTCCTGGAACTGGAGTAATAGACTGTTGTGAACTGCCATGTGGGTTCTGGGAATTGCACTCAGGACCTCTAGAAGAGCAGTCAGTACTCTTAACTGCTGAGCTGTCTCTCCAGCCCCTCACTGCAGCATTTTTATTTTATATATATTTGTATCACTTATTGGTCCCGCTCACTGACCTTCACTGTCAACCATTCCCATGACTTTCTGGTCCTGTTCCTACCCCCAATGGTCCCTTCCACTCTCATGTGTGTTCTCCTTCCTCCTCTTTTAGAATCTCCTTTCCCTTTCATGGTCCTTTTTCTATTTTTATGAACTATATATAAATATAGACTCCACATTATTAGAGAAAACATGCAGTATTTGAGGATATGCTAATTTCCACTCTAGGTGACCTTTGGGAGAAGGAACAGGATGTTAGGGGTTGCAGAAGATCAAACTAGTGGAGGAAGTCATATGTGCTTTCCTAGCTGTCTCTTGACATTTCAGTCCCAGAAGATGCCCTTTTGGTCATAGTTCTTCCTACAACATCAGGACAACAAAAGGATAATCTACACACACACACACACACACACACACACACACACACACACACACTGCACAGGAACCTTTTAGAGTCTTTCAGAAAGTCAGTAAAAATACTCAAACCACATGCCTAGTGAATTTAAAGTTGACAAGACACTGTTATAATCAAAGGGTTTTTAGAAGGGCTGGATGTGTAGCTTGGTGGTAGGAGGTCTGGTGAAGCATTTTCTTAGAATGTGAAAGGCCCTGGTCAATCCCCAGCACCACAAAAACAAAACAAAACAAAACACAAAAAGCAAAAAACAAAACAACAAACAAACAAACAAAAAACAAAAAAGAAAAGGAGAAAAATCAAGTCACAAGGACTTTTGAGATGAGAGAGTGTGAAGTAAATTTGTGAGAGGGGAAACGTCCTACTGTCTTCACTTTCAGTTAACTCATTAACTTGGAGTTGCCAATTTTGTTTTGTTTGAGACACAATCTGAGCTTGCTATGTAGGCCAGGATAAGCTCTCTGCCTCCTTTGTTGGAATTAAAGGTGTGTGCCACCTCACTGACTAGTTTTATTTTGTTTTCTTGTGTGTTTGTTAATGTATTTATTGCTCTTTGGGGGTAGTTTAAGTATAGATACTATGGAAAGCTACTGCATGGGAAGCTGGTCCTGACATGGACACCCATAGTGTTGTAGTGATTTTTAAAGAGGACAATTTGATGCCCAGGGAGACTGTGATACTTAATCTAAGATCACCTAGTACTTGCTTTTCTGGTATCAGAACCCAAGAGGTGAGAGCTGTTCTGAGCACTATGCCCCTATATAGATGGCTTTGACAACGAGTCTGGAGCAAGGGGAGTTTATTTGTCTAGGGGATTATGGTGGAGGGGGTAGTAGGCCTTTTGAGAGGTTTTCTAGCACACTCCCTAAAGCACAAAGGGACAGTGTACAAAGGACTGGGAGCCAAGACTCCAAGGCAACCTTTCTCCCACACGCTCACTGCTTTGAATCTCGTGGGGCTCGGGGAAAGCCCTCTCTCCTCCCTCTGCAGCCTGTTGGTTTTAGCCCAGGAAGGCCTGCGATCCTGTTTAAACTAGAAGTAGGGGATTCCTCATTTGTGTGGGGAGTCCCCAGTGGAATCCTCTTGACTGCGGCTAAATAGTCTGCCAGGAGAGTGGGAAGCAGGGATTTCACTGCTCAGGGCAGGAAAACAAATTTCTCCCGAGCCTCAGATCAGGATCTTCTGCCAAAAATAGACTTGCTGCTGTTGTTCTTGGCGGGAATAGTGGGCATTTCTCTCTCTCTCTCTCTCTCTCTCTCTCTCTCTCTCTCTCTCTCTCTCTCT